TAGACAAGGAGATCCTCTTTCCCCCTTCCTTTTCACAATCTTAGCAGAAGTGCTTAGCAGACTGATTTCGAAGGCGGATGCGACAGGTATTTTAAAGGGTTGGAGAGTAGGAAGGGAGAGTGTGGTGGTAACTCATCTTCAATTTGCAGATGACATCATCATTTTTTTTGAAAATAGAGATGAGATGGCAGCAAGGAACCTTAGGTTGGTGGTTAACCTTTTTTGAAAAGTGACAAATTTAAAAGTGAATCTCAACAAAAGTGTGATAGCCGGGATTAACCTAAACCAAGAAGAGGTCAATATTTGGGCAGAGGAATTAGGTTGTTTGTGGAGCGAGTGGCCTTTGAAATATCTATGACTCCCTCTAGGTGCAAACCCAAAAAACTTAGGTTTCTGGGAACAAGTACTAGAGAGGTTTGAAAAGAAGTTGGCACTCACTGGGGTGAAGGATCACTCTTATTAGAACCACCTTAGCAAATCTCCCAGTTTACTATCTCTCGGTGTTTAGTATACCTCAAGCTATTGGATAGAAATTTGAGAAGACAATGAGGGATTTTCTGTGGGAACTTGATGAGAAGAAGAGAGATCATCTAGTTAGATGGGAAGTAGTGACTAGAAGGAAGGATTTGGGAGGGTTGGGCATTGGAAGACTTAAGGAGAGGAATGAGGCTCTCTTGGGCAAGTGGTTATGGAGATTCCCAGGTGAGACAAGCAGGCTTTGGCACAAAGTGGTAACCAATATACATGGGCTCTTAGAGAATGGTTGGGATGCTGGAGTTTCTAGCAGGGCATCGAGCTATTCACCATGGAAGGCAATTCACAAACTTCTCCCTTCGCTTCTCAGTCATATCAGATTTGATCTTAACTCAATAACAAAATCAAATTCTGGGAAGATATTTGGGTGGGGGAATCTTCTTTAAAAACCCTTTTCCCCTCAATTTTTGCTCTTTCCTCCCTCAAAGGTAGACCGATTGCTGACTTTCTTGCCCCCTCCCCACCCTTGTCTGGTCTGACCTGTAACCTGGGACTTCACAGAAATGTCAGGGGACTCAGAACTGGATTCTTTGTCTTCTCTACTTAAGGTGCTTGATGGGGTGTGGTTCGCCACTTCTAAACAAAACACTAGACTTTGGTCTCCCCATCCTTCAGGTGTTTTCAGTTGTGCCTCTTTTTTCAAGTTTTTGTCTTCTACCCAACTTGGGGAACCCTTCCCTATACAGGAAGTTTGGTGTCGATCTATCCCTCACAAAGTGGGTGCCTTTTGTTGGGAAGTTTATCATAGTGCAATTAATACTAGTGATCTGATGCAGAGGAAACAACCTGGTTGGTGCCTTTCACCAAATTGGTGCTATTTATGTAAGTCAAATGGTGAGAATGCCTTTCACATTCTTTTTTCCTGTCCTCTTGCTAGTAGCATTTGGGATTGGTTTTTCTACCTATTTGGATGCAGGTGGGACACCCCGATGAGTTTGGAAAGATTGTTTGAGCCATCTACTTTTAGATGGCCAAAGCGGAGAGGGAGAATGATGTGGAGATGCACAAGGGCAGCAGTGCTATGGGTACTATGGGAGGAAAGAAATTGGAGAATATTTGAAGATACGGAAAGATGCAAGGCAGAACTGATAGAAAGTATTATGATGAAGGTGATCTCATGGGTGAAAACACTGAATTTATTTTCAGATTTTACAGTGGATGATATGATTAGGAATTGGAGGATAGTTGCTTTCTCTTCCTTGGCAAAAAAGAAGATCCTGAAGAAGTGGGTGCCCCCTGAACCAGGCTTTATCAAATTGAACTTTGATGGCAGCAGTTTTGGAAACCCAGGAAGATTTGGAATTGAAGGGCTTATAAGAAATGAAAGAGGAAATGTGTTGGGGCTGTATTCAGGTCCCATTGGAATTGGAAATTTCATTACAGCTGAACTGAAGGTAATGGTATATGGGATACAAAAAGCAAAGGAGATGGGGGTGGAAAGGTTGGTTGTGGAAGGGGATTCCAAAGTTATCATCAGTTGGCTAAAACAACATGACAGCACACCCTGGATATTCAGAAATGACATCAAGAAGATTAAAAGTCTATCCAAGGATATGCAGCTTTCAATTAAGTGGACCCATAGAGCAGTAAATGGATTTGCAGACCAGCTAGCCAAACAAGAGGTGAACAGGGATCACTGTTTCTGGGCTCAACTGTAAGAGTGAGAAATCAATTTAATAGTGGATACACTGTAGTGGGGTAGCCAAGGCTACTCATAAACTGTAACCCCTGTAATTTCTTTTCACTAATGAAATTTCTTTTTTACTGATAAAAAAAAGAGCAAACATCCCAAATAATGTATATTATCATTGTCCATAGTGAAAAAAAAGAAAAAAAGAGAACACACCAATTTTCTGTATGCTATTAAAATATGATATCTTTTACATGGTTCAGTCTTATCTCCAACCCAAAATCTTTTCATGGCTTCATATCTTTGGAAATTATTTGTTGGATTATGCTTGTTTATGCATATGCTTTCATTATGCATATGCTTTCATATGGACAAAATGATTGCTTATGCTTTAAATACCTCATTGCCTTCAAGTATCTTGGTTTTTGCCCTTGCTAAAACCAAAATTTTCCATTTATTTTTCAAATATATATTCATGTATCAAAATGATTAAAATTTAGAGTAGTTTTAAAACCAGCCAAGAAGTTGGACAGCTTTTCCCTCCGGGTCAACCTGTGATGTCATCCTTATAAAACTTAAAAAATTTAAAATAATAGAGAAAGCCAGTAACCCATTGATGGGCCAGATGGGTCAATGGTTCAACCATCTGGTTGATGGGTTGTTGACTGAGTCAACAGTTTTTGTAATATAGCAGGTTAGAGGTTGACCTGAACTGGGATAATGTTAGGAGCATTGGTCTGACAGGTCAACGACAGGTTGAAAACACTGATTTAGACTACTGAGGTATTGGCTCAATATACAAGCACCTAATAAAGCCACAATTTAAATAACCTAATTGCCTTAAACAACCTTAAGTAATGTCATTGATAGAAATGAAGGAACATAAAAGAAAGGGATTTTATGAGTTTAACATCTCATATGGAGGCAGTATTTGGAAGGAACAAGGATTATGCATTCACTCTGGTAGGTATTGGCAACATAGATTCTGGGAGAAACACAGCATGCTTTTATAATTTGGCCAAGGCTTTAGTGTCAATCAAAAAAAAAAAAAAATCTGGGAGAAATTTATGATGCAATATTTTTTTGATAAATAATTTATGATGCAATCTTTCTTCCTTTTGTTTGATTCTCCTAAATCTATCTCTTTTGCTAAGGTGGAGATCTAGGTAGAGAGATCTTTTGAGAATTGAGAGATGGAAGGACAGAAACATGGATCCAACAATGCACAAAATCCTTAAAAACCTGTGGCTTATTTTGGTAAATCAGATAACATATTTTGGTTGTATGACCAAGTACAACTGAAAGTGGATGTCAAAGGTGCATTCTTGGTCAATAATTATATTACTTTTTGTTGAAGAGGATTTGGTGCCCTACTCACTCAGTATGTTTGGAGATGCAAAATCTGCCTCTTTACTTCTTATCTGATCATTTTATACAGCTTTTCTTGAAGAAGATTGGGTGTCCTACTCACTGAATATGTTTAGAAGGGATCTTTGCATAGTTTGAATTAACTTCAGACAAAATCTGCGACTGCTTGGAGGGGGGGCGATCATTCTAATTTCTTTTTGCATCATAAATAGTTACTTGGTTGTTCTCATCATCTACTTCAAAAATTCCTTTTCAAGATTTGGAACTCCTTACAAAGTTCTGGATTATGTTGGGCAATGCCATTTGCCAAGCACCTTAAGATGGACCAAGCATCAAATTTTATTTGGGTCTTAAGAGAGAAATCATTTGTATACGCTTTTCATACACCAATGCTATAATTAGTAGACTCTTTACAAAGTATTCCTAAAAAATTTCACTTTGTTTGAGAAGGTATAGGAAGAACTACAATTGGTATGATTTGCATGAATATGACTAAAAAAGTTGTCTTTGCAGCAGATATTTAGATCCTTATGCACAATCAGAATCTGTTTTATTCAAGTCTTGAATAAAAAGCTTGCCTCTTTGTAAGGTAGGGATCATGGCATCAAGGCTGTCTTTGATTTGAAAGAAAAGTCTCCCTATCTTTCCGTACCTTCTCTATCAAACCAAACACAGCCTAAAGGAACGGGGTCCAAGAAATAAAGAAATTAGAGAGAGCTGGCACTCACTTATAGGGTGGGCTCAAAGATCAGATAACAGTTCTGCAGATGCTCTTGGGAGACAGAGTGGGTAGATAACAGCTTTTTTTTTTGGGGGGGGGGGGGGTTGAACCCTTAAGAAAGGGGACTTTTAATGTGAAAGAAAGTTGGGGGGGAGGGGGAGATGGGATAGGCCCATTAATTTTGGAAGCTATGGCTAACATCTTGTATCATCATCATCCATGCCTTATCCCAACTATATGGGGTCGGGTCGGATGGCTTACCGCTTTGTAAGCATTTTTTATATTACAATAAAAAAAAACTCATTTTAGACTATATTTTCTCGTTGAGGATTTTGTTTGAGCAAGGGGCAGCTGATAATATTTTCCAAATGTTGGAGGCAGATTGAACTGAGATTTTATTAGAAACTTGCTTTTGCTTTTTAGTTGAAATCCTAAAATTTCTCGTCATTGATAGCCTCAAATCTGAGTTGTATATAGAAAGAAAGTTGGTTTCTGAAATCCCAGTTAACTTTATCTGTATTCTTATCCACAAACTCATTGATCAAACTTTGGATTCTGTTGACTTGACTTAAAAAGCCTCTCTCTCTCTCTCTCTCTCTCTCAAGTCTCAAATGTATGCATGTTCGTGTGTCTCAAAATTCGCATGTCTGGCATGCATCTTAAGAACTATTTATGCTACAAATAAGTTAAGTACATTTTACCAAAAAGGATCTAATTACAGAAAGGATTACATACTTCCATGTGCAGGATGATGGAGCATGGCTTGTTATCACCCGAAAGAGCGAAGAAAGCATATGAGAAAAAGCAGAAGAGGCAACAGCAACTAAGGATGGGGACTCCCGTTAAGTCACTGAATTCGGATAAACCTGAAAGTTCACAAAAGCAACAGCAGGTATCCAAGAACAGTGACTCCAAAGTAAAGAAGAGAATAGTTGATGAAGAGGAGGATTATTATCTTGTACGGCTCAAGAAAGGAAAATTTTGAATTCCACACTTGGAGTCCCTTTGTAACATTGTAACCTTAGCTTATTTTATTGCTTTTGAGTTGGTTTGGCCTTTTCACATAATCTGGAAGCCCAAAGGCAAAATGTTCTTTGATGTTACAGGTGGATTATAGATTCAGACATTCTTTGTAATGTCTAATTTGTGAGGAAAAAAAATAAGAAAACTGAATTCTTGTTTATTTTGTGTTTTATCTTATCATACATGATTTCAGAGCAAGGTTCTTCCTTTGAGATAGATGTGGAAGAAAATTGAATAAAGGCCAGGGAGGTAACTGCTATTTTTGGGATGGTCATGCTATCATAGCTCAAGCTAGAAGTGCTAATGATGGAAGATTCATTGGCAAGAGCAGGGATATTAAAGGAAAACTTAGAATGGGATTGTTCAGGGTCGTGTTGTAATCTGTAAGCTGTAACCCTGAAAAACCCTATTAACCTGCTTGTTTTGGTAAGCAGTGTGGTGGTTTTATATTAATGAAATATACTTATAAATAAAAACTGCTAATGACTCCATAAAATAATCTAGTGCCTTACTTCTATTTTTATTTGTTACTAACTTATTTAACAGTTGACGATGCAAACCTACACTGTGCAAATTAGGCCGTGTTTGGTTGCAATGCAAACAAATTTGTACTGATGCAAAATTGTGGCAGTGCAAATGATTTGAGTGTAAATCCTGACCCAATTTTCTTTCAAATTTTAGCTTATTTTGTTTGATTGCAGTACAAATGAAGTAAATTAAGAAATGAAGTAGAATAAATAAAACCCAAAACAAAGTTAAACCAGAATTTGCAATTTTTTCATTTGCATTCCCATGCATTTGAACTAGTGCAAATAAAATTGCACAGCAACCAAAAGTATTATTTTTCACTACATTTATTGATCGTTGAAAGATGTTTCTTGTCCTTCAGTTAAGTTAATATGTTTTGAATTTTATTCAAAATAACTGCAAATATGGATCCCCATGAACTTGAATAAAAAAAAAATCAAAACTAAAATCTCTAATAAAAACGTGTTGTCTCAATTGCTTTGAAACTCATTAAAAAGATAAAAGATAATTGGGATTGTCCCAATTAACACACTTTTCTCAAGAGATATTGCCGATTAAAATGATCACTTAGATTGTCGTTGTATTCCTCTATGTTAGCCATATAATCTAAAGCCCACAGCATCTTACCTTTCTATAAGAATTTAAGGTTTCAGATAACTTCATTGACCATGAGTATTTTACTTGGAGATTTCTCTAGAGAGCTCTATTTCATGAATTGTTTGTTGCATGAAAAACTAAGTTCAAAGAGTTCTCCAATGGTTTATAATATGCTCTATTTTGATGAAAAAATCATCATAGAAATTAAGCCATCCATTCCTCCATTTTCTTGGACTACAACGCTTTGCTACCAATGAATGTAGTTCAAACAAGAGAATATTCATACATAACTTCAATAGAGTAAGGCAAGTGAATAAAATGGGTATTCATAATTCCAAAATGCTGCCCATCGGAAACGAAGTATGACCTAAATAGTATATTCTGAACTCTACAGTTGAAAGTCTCTCACTCTAGAAATTCTGAAGTCAATTTTATAGGAATTGGAATCTTGGGGGAGGATGTTTATGATGCTACTATATATAGATAGGAATTAGGAGGCACCATCCTCTCTCCCTTTCAGATTTCAGAATAGGCATAACAGAGAAGCATGGTCACAATTCCTGTGATTTAGAAGTCCCACTGGGAAGGGGGAAAGAAGAGGAACTTAGATTGAATTTGCATATGGAGTAATAAGAGTTTGGAACTATTAAGGGGCTTTAGAATTTAGAGCATCAGTATCTTGACAACCCAGTGGGTTTCCAAAGCCCAAATAAAATACAAGATATGGTTGGACCTCCAATTGCTCCAATGTGGATTAATCTTGATGATCATAAATGGGCGTGGGATTAGCAAATCTGTACAAAAGCCTCATAACTCAAGCCCAGAACCCACCAAGGATCCATGGAAACTACACCAATTCAATTTTAATCCTTTAAAGCTAGTAACAAGGGGGACGGATATCCTACACTTAATGCCAAGGCACACACTAATCAATGAAAATTCAGGGGGGGGGGGGGAATCCGATTGATCATACCCATCCACTGACGTTTGAAAGTTTGGCCAATAAAAACCCCCATGAATTTTGAAAACTCTCAACACACAAGAGTTTTCAGAAAACAATGTGTATAAACCAGTGAAAACTGGAGATGGATAAAGGTCTTTTACGCTGTGCATTGTCATGGTTTAAGAAGTGAGTTTATTGTGATGTATGGCTCATGGTTGATCAGGAAAGAACGTAATATTAAATGGATAAATTTATCGAAATCCTGAAGCCACCTCTTTTCAATTGTAGCAACCATTAGGCTATGTTGGTTTGAGGGAAAAGGTGGGGAAAGGAAAGGAAAGGAAAGGTTGGAAAACCCATACAAGGTTTCTAAATGTTTCCCTATCTTTCCTTTCCTTTCCCTACTTTTTCCCTTGAACCAAACACAGCCTTAAGTAATCAAATTCAAAATCAAGTTTTGCTCTAAAATTCAATTTGAAACCATTCATTTGCTTTCAAATGTTATGGGCTCATCCATTACTTGAAGAGGACAAACAGAATTCTGGATGAGGCAATGAGCTCAAAATGCCATTGATTAATGCATGAGAGAGTGGGTAGCTATTGGGGGGGGGGGGGGGGGNAAATTTCCTATTTTTGACCTCCAGGTAGGAAAGCAGTTTTAGAGTCTGCCACACAATAATTATATAATAAAGGGGCAAAGTGAAGGATCACCTTTTTACCTTGAAGAATTTAATTGAAAGACAAGAGTTTCAAGACAGAACAGAAGACACCAGCCTATTGACAACTCTCAGACTGGTGTTCAAACATTACTTAATTGATTAATTAGATGTGGCTGAATTTCATAACCCTAATAGCTAATGGTTATCATTCATCTTTGCTAGAGACTCAGAACCAACATGGCTGCATATCTCCCAGCGACTTGTTTCAGTCTTATTTAGTAAATTTTGCAAACACTTAAAACCATTTGAACTAAGTAGGTGAACTTGTGCATTTATTCAATAGTGGCCCTGCAGATATAGTCTCATCTCAAGAGATAACTTGTATGTCTAAATTTATGTTATTGTACCCCAATGTGTATCTTAAATATAGAATCCAAACCTGTGATTATTATTTCACTGTTAAGTCATCATCAATTCATCATCATCGGTCCAGGACTGATCACACCTACAATACAATTCATCCATTTGACCATATAGAACCAAATTTCTTGAGCAATGATTCACTCTGGAACATATTGGTTATATTGATCTGTCAAGTATTTAAGATCTCATATGGAATACTCAGAAAAAATCTTTAGGAGAGATGCATCAATGGTCTCTGTTACGTGCTTGAAGCATTCATTCCAATTTATTAATTCCAAGTAATTGATTACTACTTGCTCAAATAATGGATTTCAAACCTGTAGATACAAGTGGGCTCTTTTTGAAAATGCTTCTCTGGCACTTGGTTTAATTTCTTTTGAACCAATAACTATGGTGTAATGATTTGGGTTGTTTGGTATCATTGCTGTTTCTACTTGAAATATTTTGGGTTGATCAATATAGAGTTATGAGTTCACATCTGCGCCTCACAGCACATTCCCGCCGTATATTGGGAAATATCTCCGATGATTTTGGTCTATCATCGGGAGATGTTTGAAATACACGGTGGGGATGTGCTGTGGGGCACAGATCTGAACTCTAGAGTTATGTGGTGTCCCACTGCATATACAAGAGAGTCACTTCAGTTAGAATGATTAGACTTCACCCCTCTAGAGCAAGAAAGATGATCAATTCAACATTTCAACCTAACCAATACCTCGCATGCATTTTTAAGGCATGCGCGTTTCAAACTTTCAATTATAAACAGCCTCAAATCACAGTTATATGCGGATGACCCAAAAAGTTTTAGGTACAAACAATAATGGTACTAATAAACACCACTCTGAATCTGCTACCCACAGTCTATTCCCACGTTGTTACCGACAAAACATCACTGCTATGTATTGGGAACATCTCCCATAAATGACAAAAGAAATATTTCCAATTCACAGCTATAAAATACTGCGGGTAGAGATGTGAAAACAGATTGTGGGTAGCAGATCAAGCCCAATAAACACAACCTCCATGGGCACAAGCTTTTAACTTGAAAAAAAAGCTCGTTAGATCAGCCTCCTTTATCTGGCATGCAGTATGTTTTGAAAATCGATCCATATCAGTATTTTTTTCCCATTATTTACAATAACTAATGTGCATTCTCATCAATCTAGAGAATCCAACTACATCTCGTGTATGGAATATTTATTGAAGAAAAAAAAATAGCTCACTTTTAATTATTTATCCATTTGTTCAATAAATTTTATTTTATTTTTTGGACAGGAGAAACAGTTGGAACACTAATCTATTAACTTCTTTGTCTACATATTTATTATTTTTTGTGTTATTATTAAACTTTATTGTTATGTGAAATGTAATATTAAATAATGAAGTGTTAGGGAATAGAAAAGTATATTTAGAAGATATAAAACAATCTTATTAACTTCTTAAATCTTAACAGTCTTAAGCTTTAACAAATATTAATTATAAAATAACATACAGACAGGTCAAGGTAATAACACTATATTAATTAAGACTAATTATATATGTCCAGGAACGAATGGTAGTTATTACGAACATTATTTTTTTATTAATCTTTCAAGCGTGTGAGTTTTTGTGCTGGTTTTTCTTATTTTGGGTTGCTGAATTTTATAAGAGACTACATCGAAGTTATAGTTAGAAACGTGAGATGTATAATGAGCCTTATTCAACATGGTCTGAACGTTTGGTGGTTTTAGACTTTTAGTTACCATTCGGGTGGATATAATTAATGAAATACAGAATATGATAATATAAAAGAGCCAAAGTATCTGAGCTGAATGTTAATTAGGAGGTTTCGAGCTCTTTGGCGGAAGCTAGCTCGAAGTTAGATCGATTACTTTGCCCTTAATGGTTTGGGCATTTCAACCGCTATCAAACAATCTGTTAAAGAACTATTGAACCTAAAATCTTAAGCTGTTAGATAGGTGAGGTCCTTGAATAGATTTTTAGTATCTAACATATCGTTTTATACAAAAC